TATCCAAGTATCAAAAACCTAAAATGATTTTAACCAAACGGTATCTAAGAACAAAAATCATAATAATTTGCCTGCAATCATTATTAAGCTAAAAAAGTTAAAATGCGTAATGAAACATACGATTGTACACATTCTACCAATCAAATAAACCCAAGAAGGGAGGATGGAGTAGTCTTCATTGCCGCTATATATTTGAAAGAGAAGGGGAGGCTGGAGTAGTCGCAGCATTAATGGAGTCACCTCCTCCTTCATCCACCTTAAAGTCGATATCCGTATCATCCCAGTGGGGAAAATCTGTTTTCTTAAGCAGAAGAAATTGCTCAAAGGAAAACGGGGCAGATGGAAATAAAATGATGAAATAAAATGTCAAACATACAAATTACATTACCATAAGCCGAGGAATTTCAAGCAAGTGAAGCAGAGTACTACTATTGGGAAGCAAGGTTTGGTTCATCTTCCTCTTCTCCAAAATCAAGATAAGCTATAAATTAGAACCTACCGTAAGTTTTTCTAAAATCAAGATAAGCAACAAGGATCAGAAATTAGAACTTAAAAAAATATTCAAATGAAGAAGAACATGGAACAGATTTATCATTTTCATCTTTGATGAGTGATGAGTAATCTAATAGCGCTCCACCACTCTCCCCGTAAAGTCTTTACTTTTGAATTATTTTACTGAACATCAATTTCGAATTAGATTTTATACTAACAAAATCTAATTTGCTCAAACCGTTTGCTTGGCCACAAGAACGGCATTAAGAAGCCCAAATACCACCATCTCACCTCCACCAAAGGGCTACGTTTTCATTCAGGCAATTTCATATATATATATGTGTGGACTTATGAATTTTTTTTCTTATTTTTATGTGTGGAATTCTAAACAGATGGACCTAAAGTTTTTGAGGAACCGGAGGTATGAATTTGTGTCTCCTATATTACTGCCTCTCATCAGAACTTTTATGTGGAGTCGTTGTGAATTTGTATCTCCTATATTACTGCTTCTCATCTTGGTATTCCACTGTATGGATATTTTTCTTTCCATTCAACTCTTTTCTGAATAGAATCTATCGATTTTATAGCTTTTAGTCATGTGGGTTTGGTTATAATTTAATTGAGATTGATTGGTTTGGAATGAGAGTCACAAAAATAATTTTTCTCATTGGATTTGTCCAACAATCTTGTTACATAATAAATTTGTAGACAGTGAAACATTTGTGCCCAACGTTGAGTAGATGGGAGAAGGAATGCAATAAGAACTTACAGCCTCAGGTAATGAAGAGGTTCAATTATCATCCTCAACTGAAGATGTTCTTGGAGAACCTTCTTCATCTCCTTCGGGTACAGGGGAGGGCGGAATAGCAGGAATGTAGACAACCCTCAATTTAACCTCATTGACAATCTTGTCCTCCTTCCTGTGAAACTACTTAAAAGATTAACTGAACAATTAATTCCAAGCAAACTACCATGTTAAAGCAAGCTTCATAAATCATTTTTTATGGAAAACTAAACCCTACCATTTCCGCTGTTAAATCCTTGTTTGTTGTGCCCCTGGGAGCAACAACACTCTAGATTAGAAACTTGTCCTTGCACTGCATATCAGCGGGCACCTCTTTGTGTGCTTGCATTGTAACTATTGATCTTGAAATATAAAACACAAATGTCAGTAATCCAGTCCTATACTAAACACATGAAAATCGGAAAATCATTAAATCAATACCGGTGACATTGCATACAGAATTGGGCAAGACAACACCGGCGTTGGGTCGAACACAGTACCTCTTGGGGCTGGTTGTTTTGACCTTTTTTAATTAAAAATCCATTAATCAAAAAATGATATAATTATCATCACATGCCTAACAGAGCGTCCAACTACTTTTCGCTTCTACTTGCATTATTAACTATGAATTGATTGAACTAAATAAATGACAGAATTAATGATCCATTGACTCATCCTGAAAAGGCAATCCCATGAAGAAGAAATATCTATAAGTTCTCTTTAATGAAATGCTCAATTAGGAATATAAGGATACAAAGTGCTCACACAATAACATATCCGACAAGAAATTCGAATATTAATTTCACAAGGGGTGCAAATAGAATAGAGGAAGCTCTTGAATCTCGATTAATCCTCTTTACACTTCTTCCTCAATTAATGAAAATTGGAAGTACTTTCAACACACAACAGTGCTTGGTTTCCTACTTGACCAAGTAACCAGACCAACACATGGAATAGGACCAAGAAAGAAAAAACAAATCATG